TTTGCATATAATGTCTCATTTGAGACTCCGGTCTATTTAGGATTTTAATTCTCATTTTAATTTGATAGACAATGTATACTGCAAAAATAGTAATCACTGGTCTATCCTTCAGTAAATATGCAGTCTTCACGTGTAACCACTAATATCTATCATCTCTATTTAAAAAAGTGAAAATGGGTAAATGTTAGTAAATTTGCATATAATGTCTCATTTGAGACTCCGGTCTATTTAGGATTTTAATTCTCATTTTAATTTGATAGACAATGTATACTGCAAAAATAGTAATCACTGGTCTATCCTTCAGTAAATATGCAGTCTTCACGTGTAACCACTAATATCTATCATCTCTATTTAAAAAAGTGAAAATGGGTAAATGTTAGTAAATCCCCAATAAGTTTGGATAGTTGACACTAAACCCCCATTACGTCTAAAACTCTCACTAAGAGCATGTTTGGCAACATATTTATTTCTATCTATATGTATATTTTAACTTATAAGTTGTCAGGGTAAAGTTTGGGAATTGTTTGTTTATCACTTAGGGGGGTTATTCATTGGGGTAATTTTTGAGATAATGGGATAATTTTTGGAACAATAATGTTTGGTGTTATTCATTGGGGTAATTGGAACTGGTGTAATCTTTATGGTGTTATTGGTTTGTTGGGGGTAATTGGTGACAAAAACCCCATTTCACCCAAAATTATCCCAAGTATTTAAACACTTCACATCCTCACACTCAAAATTTACCCAAAAAAGAGAGCTGGAACAAATGGGGGTAACCTTGCCCTCTTCTTCCACGTCGTCACCCGCCCCCAAGATCTCCCCCCCTCATCCAAAGAAAACCTAGGGGAAATAAAAAAATCCCATCGCCAAAACCCTAATCTTCTCCCCGTCCCATTCCTCAATCTTCTCCACTCTGCTCCCCTCTATCTCCCGCCATGGCCGCCGAGGTCTGGATGCGGCTCCGCTCTACAGGACGAGGAGGTTCGACGCGAGGGGTAAGATGAGCTTTCAGGAGATCCCGCCGCTGGATTCGGTCGATCTGAGCTCGATCGTGTCGAGAGCGGAGGGGATTCTATACACGATCGCTGATGCTGCGGTTGCTGTGGATCGGACGCGGGGGGGTCGACGGCGCAGAAGAGTGGAACAAATTACCCCATTGGAACAATTTACCCCAATTTACCCCAAGTTACCCCAATGAATAACCCCCCCTTAGTTTTAACTCATAAGTAGGAAAAAAAATTAAATTGGGATTCTTCAACTTATTTTTTGGCCACTTATCAGTAAATCCACTTATTGATGTTAAAAGACTATCTTGTACTAAAAAAAAAGAAAAAAAAACATTAGTAATAAGTAACTTATAATGAATCGTAAAATAAATAGTAGCCTAACATGCTCTAAACTCCCAAAAATGTTTTGCATAAAACTCCTAAATTAACATATTAGTTAGTATATGGTCAAATGACTAAACCATTCTAATAAATTTTTGGAAGAAAACACCTAGTAAGTTTATAATTTTGTCACTTAACCCCAATAACTAATGATAGAAAGTCCTTCATAACGGTTTTTTTTTTTCATTTTCAAGGTTCTACGTTATTTTTTGACTTTTTAGTAGGTTGTTTCTAATTTTCAGAGTTTAAAATAGGTTGCTTGTTATGTTTGGTTTTTGTGACAAGCTATTTGTAATATTCAAAATTTTTAGATTGTTCTTTATAGATTTTGGATTTTTAAGGTCTTATTGGATTTTTAAAGATTTTTTAGAGATATTTTTATAATTTTAGATTTTTACGTGATTGTACTTTTAACGCATCTATTTGTTGTCTTTAGAGTTTTCAAAGGTTTGTCAATGATTTTGAGAATTAAAAGGGGTGGTTAGTAATTTTTAGGTTTCTCAGGAGATTCTAGGGTGGTTAGTAATTTTTAGGCTTTTCAGGAGATTCTAGGGTGGTTAGTAATTTTTAGGTTTTTCAGGAGATTCTATGTATTTTTTATATTTTAAAGAGTTTTCTTTGTAATTTTTAGATTTTTCATGAGATTATTTGTTGTTTCATATTTTTAAACAAAATAAATAATTTGAGTGGTATATATTAGCCTTGGGGGATAATGTTCGTCTGTGTATATTTATGGGTGATGCCATTATGAGTTTAAGTGAAAATTTTTAAATTTTTTTGGTGGTTATCTAAAATTTTGAAACTTATCGGGGGATTTAAAAAATTTATAGTTTTAATGCCAAATAACTAATCTTATTAGAGATTTAATGAAATTATCATTTAAACAAATTAAGGAAATCCAACAATTTTTTCTGGAATGTAAGACTAATAGTAAACCATTAATTCCTTCTTTATATGTTTTTAAGAGATTTAAAGAATTAAAAATTATTGTTAGACCTTTTGATTATGAATAATTAAAGAAAATTTAAAATATGATTATTTGTTTTTTAGTTACTAAAAATTTGACTATATTTGGAAATTTCTAATTGTGGACAAACTTAATTTGATGAGAAATTTAATTATGAATATAAAAATAACATATGACACTTAAGGTTGTTTTATATGCTTATGTGTCATCGTTTCGTGTACTTTTAGTAATATCACTAATTTCTCATTATATAAAGAAGTAATTTCTTATTTTATTGTATGTAAAGGAGCAATGTCAAATGTAAATTCTAATTTGAGAACATTTAGTGATTTGAATAACTTTATATATTTTTGATCTTATCTATTACCCTCGTATTTTTTTCCTTTTTTATTTTTTGTTGCCACTTATGTTTCTCTTATTTGATCCTCATCCTTACTTGATTTTGATGCGTGTATGGACTATAAACACCCTTTACGAACCACTTTTTGATGGGAAGTACAGAAATTAAGTGTTGTAGTTAGAAAAGAGTTCATTTTAATAAGATCATCTTTCCAAATATAATTCTGAGTTTCCTTAAAAAAAGAATAGCAACCTTTTGAAACTTTTAATATCCAATATCCCAATTGGATTAACAGGGACCGGTATCAGTCTCCGTACATTGCACCGAATTTAACCATATATAGCACCATACGGAGTCCCATCGATTGCTAACTTAATGCCCCATATTATGTGGACCCCACTCCCTAGCCTATGGGCGTTTGTTTGTTCAGAATTGGGTGCTTCGGAAAACACGGATTAAAAGGCTTTTTACTGACCACGTCATTTTTTGTTGTTATCTTATCGCCCAGTTGGACTTTAATGCGACCGGCAGTAGCAGGTCATCACATGAAAAGATCCCGGCCTCCTACGGAATCCAATCACTCATTTCCACGTACGTCGGCTCTAGATTCCAATCTTGAGTAAACACAAGACGCCTCCGCATAAGGTTGCCATACGGGATTAGTTATCTACCGGTCATCTCAACAATTTCTAAATCTAACGGTTGAAAACAAGCCCGCATAAAGTTCTATGCGGGGGTCGTATGCTGCTCTTTGTCAGTTACTTGCGTATATTTAACTGCTGGACCCCACGCCTCTCCGATTTCCAAGCGTTTCGTTTGGTTGGTTCAGCTCACTCTAAAATCTTCAATCTCTTTTCTTCTCAAATTCTCTCTCCTCCCACCGCCCAAATTATAGCCCTACCCAAACTCCACTTTTATAGTTTTTTAAAGCCCCTCCTCAATCATCCTATTTAAACCCCCCAGACCCCTACCCCTCATCCCCATCTTCCCCTTCTCTCAGAAAAGATGGCATCTTTACCTTATACCTCTCTCTTGCTTCTCCTCCTCTCGTCGGCGATCCTCGCCGCCGCGGCCACCGCGGAGACTCGACCATGTCGATCATCGCCTACAACGAAAAGCCACGGATTCAGGGGATGAGCGGAGCGACGCCAGAATCAGACTCATCTACGACCAGTGGATGGCGATGAACGGCAGACAGTCCACGCGATCGGGAGGGGCGATTCGCCGGTTCGAGATCTTTAAGGACAACCTCCGGTTCATCGACGAGCACAACGCGGCGGCGGACAAGGGCGAGCACTCGTATAGATTAGGGTTGACTAAGTTCGCCGATTTGACGAACGAGGAGTATAGATCGACGTACCTTGGGATTAAGGCTGATGAGAGGAAGGAGAGGGTTAGGGTTAGGAGCGAGAGGTACAAGGTCAACGCTGGGGAGAGCTTGCCGGATTCCGTTGACTGGAGAAAGGAGGGGGCTGTAACTTCGATCAAAGATCAGGGGAGTTGCGGTAATTGTGGTAAGTTTCGATTGTTGAACTTTTTTTGGGGGGTCCTTGTTCTGATTGGTTTTGTTATTACTTGGTTCCTAAGTTTTTTGGATTTTTTGGTGAGGTAAAGTTTATTTTGACCGTGGATTGGATTAGGTTAAAGCTGTCGTTTTTTCTTAGGATTTTTTTCCGCCTATTTTGTGAATGCAGCTGGGGATGATTTGATTTAGAAGTAACATATCCAGTTATAGAACGTTGATGAGCGTAATTACAATAAGCTTACTTAAGTTGTCTTTTTCTATAAGGTTCCTTGTACGGTTAAATCAAAAATTTGTACTATGTCAATTTCTATAAGAAAACTCTGATTTTTTTATCGATTTAGTTGCTAACGTCAATTTAACCAATTGTTGTTCCTATACATGTATAAAGGCAACAAATTTATGAACAGTATTTGGATCCTGCAGTAGATTAGGGAACTAAATACCTTAGATTGAGACTGAAAAATAATTAATCGTCGATGCATAATTGCAATAGTTTGTAATTTTGTTTTCTACCTTACTAAGTTTTAACTAGACAAGATGTAGATTTTAGTTACCACTACTGATTTTATTGATCATGTCAATAATGATTAAGAGAAAATTAAGATTGATGTTGTGCTTGTACAGGGAGTTGTTGGGCTTTCTCGACAGTAGCTGCAGTTGAAGGGATCAATAAGATTGTGACTGGTGATCTAATTTCGCTGTCTGAACAAGAATTGGTTGATTGTGACACCTCATATAATGAGGGATGCAATGGTGGCCTTATGGACTATGGTTTCCAATTTATCATCAACAATGGTGGAATTGACACTGAAGAGGACTACCCATACAAAGCCCAGGATGGCAGATGCGACACCTATAGGGTATATAGACTTATCTCGTTAATTTGATTCGATTGTTGTATAATCATTACATATTGTTTTCATTTGTCAGTCTATATCAAGTTGATTCTTAGAATATCCATTAACTATTGGAAAATAAAATATAAAAGATGATAAAGGTCATAGTACAATATTAGTGTTGATACTATAAGTGAGGTCAAAACCTTTGCTGATAAGTATATTTCTATATAGCTGTATATTTGTATTTCTTTATGAAATTAGGTTAGAGGTGAACCTTTGCTGATAAGTTATTATTGTTTGACACTATGGCACAGTTATAGAAATTGTGGCCATGATAATATATCAATACATTTTTTTGTCAAGTTTGAATTCTATGGTATTCATCATCTCAATCAATTAGATGTCGGAATAGGGCTAGTGCCCTGATCCTCACTATTGATGGTATTGATTTGATTCATTTGTGGCATTCTCATCTTGATTGACTTGTTTATTTATTTGCAGAAAAATGCAAAGGTCGTATCCATTGATGGGTATGAGGATGTTCCTGAGAATGATGAGAATGCCCTGAAGAAGGCTATTGCCAACCAGCCTGTTAGTGTTGCAATTGAAGCTAGCGGAAGGGCATTCCAGCATTACCAATCGGTGAGATTATTGTTTTACATGATTTCATCTAATTTTTAATATTGCTTTGGGTAAACATTTATGTTAGCTTCTGATTAATAATTTACAAATTGATAGCTAGAGCTATTTTTCGCATACATTAGTCTAGTATAATAAATAAATTTCTAGACTGGTCACATTTCAGTTGTTTTGAGATGTATTCTGGTAATTTTGACGCAAATCATTTAGGATGGTGTAATTCCAGTAAGAAACATGGGCGATAGTTACCTTTGGTTGGCTATCTAGCAGGCAAAGACTTCGCAACTCCTTAAGGTTTGCTGCTACCTTATGTATTACTGACACCTACATGTGATAGTCATCATAGGTACAATCTTGCCTTTTATTTGCTAGGGAACAATAAGTTCAATTATCTGCTCAAGGAGACATGATTACTATTGTGAATCATCTTTCCTCGTGCGCGTCCCTTGATTTATGAAATTGAGTAAAAAAATAATTTTATCAACTATTAAGGCCATGTTTCTTTTCTAGAACCCATATAGATGCAAATAATTTTATCAACCATATTTATGACATTTCCTTTCAAGAGAATGGTAGGCTTAAGTATCTTGTGAAGTAACTCTTTCTTGCTTTATGTGAATTGTTGTCCCTCTCCTTAGATTTATTAAATTGAGAAGCATTTACTGTGCACAATGTGTTCATACAGCATAATACTTACGATGATACTTTGTAGAGCTTGTGGTTACATTGTTTTTGGATCCCTATTTGCTAACTTATTTCACAGATATCTAAGGTGGTTCAAATCCAACAGTGAAAACCATTACTAGCCATTTTGATTTTAAGCAATATTTTTTGCAAGCCATATTTAAAGGTTCGTTTAAAATCTAACAGTGAAAACCGTAACTATCCAATTTTATTTCAAGTAATATTACTGGGCATGGCTTGTAATCCATTTGATTCTCCTTGTCTCCACCATCTCCTTTTCTGGAAGAGTATCCTTTTCTCCAAATGGTTAGCTATAACAATATACTGAATCAACACCTACTTTTTTGTTGGCAAACACACAGTAAACTTCATCTTATGATAAGAAAACTGTGTATAACGTAATCTGCAATAATCATCACGAAGGATAAACAAGAAGTGCCAAATTTATTAATCAGTGTCAAACAACCTTTCCTTAGTTTAGTGCTAAATCTGAACTTGCTTTGAATCAATTAAACCTTGTCCCTTGTGTATTGGCAAAATTGTTATGGAATACTAGGTTCATATACTAAACAAATTTTTGTAATTTCCAGGGTATTTTCAGTGGGCAATGTGGCACTGAGCTCGACCATGGTGTTGTAGCAGTAGGTTACGGAACTGAGAACGGCAAGGACTACTGGATCGTTCGTAACTCGTGGGGCTCGTCATGGGGTGAAGCCGGCTATATCAGACTTGAGCGTAACATTGCTGCTCCTGCTGGAAAGTGTGGTATCGCAATTGAGCCATCTTACCCAATCAAGAGAGGTCAGAATCCGCCCAACCCGGGCCCATCTCCTCCTTCTCCTGTTATCCCACCCACTGTTTGTGATAATTACTATTCTTGCCCGGAGAGCACAACTTGCTGTTGTGTCTATGAGTTTGGCCGGTCTTGCTTTGCTTGGGGATGCTGCCCTCTTGAAGGCGCCACTTGCTGTGATGATCACTATAGTTGCTGCCCCCATGATTATCCCATCTGCAACGTTCAGGCTGGAACTTGTCTCACTGTAAGTCTTACTTGTATCTTCAACTTATGGCAACGAGTCCTTTTTAACTTCCGTTTAAATTATTATTGTTAAATTTGCCGTACCATTTAGTTAATTATAATTTACCCCCGCAGTGGTTGCTACTAGAATTTTGACAATTGATGGATGAAAGATAGTTCTAACTTGTATAATTTGAAACGGAGAGGAAAGACGATGACCAGAGTTATTGAACTATCAATAGGTAGGTTAGTTTTGAAAATAATGACAAAAGTCAACATAATATAAATGGATATTTTGATTTTACTCAACTAACAATAGTTGTGGGGTAAAATTTTGATAAGACTATAAATTTGGGTGGTAGGCTAGAATGGCAATTTAAGGAATAATTTTAAAAATATGTAATGTTTTGTGGTGTATACCTCTAACAACCCTAGATAATTTACACGAGTTTTAAGTTTTGATTTTGAGAAATTAAAAGAAAGAAAGCTATATAGGACTTGGTTATGATATATTCCAAGGTAGTATTCTAATTAAGTTCCCTTTTTTATGTGCAGAGCAAGAACAACCCTCTGGGAATTAAGGCCTTGGTCCGAACTCCAGCGAAACCTCACTGGGCTTTCTCAGCTGCCGGAGGCAAGAAGCAGTAATGATGAATTCAACAATCACTTGCACCTCACCATCATTTCCATTTCTATTTAGGGGACCAAGCAGCAATGCTTATTGCTTTGCTGGTTTGTTTTATGATGATTAGCAAACTCTTGTACATAGTTCTTAAGCTTCATATTCCCTAAAACCAATTGGTGGTACTATTTGAACTTGCTACATTACTCTTGTAACATTGATAGTTATTTCAGCTGAAATTATGCAATTCCCTTATGTTTTCTTTGTGGTTGGAATTTGAGATACGTAATTGATGCTTATTTGAGATTAGTTTCTTTGTGATTTAAGTTTGGTCCTGTGCGTGGTCATGTGCCTGTACTTTGAGCTTATGTTATGATTAGGGGTGTTAAACGGGTGGGTTTGGGCATTAAATGGGCGGGTCATAAATGGGCGGGTTTTTGCCCGCCCATTTAATAATCGGGCCGCCCATTTGCCCGTTTAACTATAATAACTATATATATATATAATACTTTTGTGGTGTTTCTGTAAACTTTTAGGGGTTTTTTATAAACTATGATAGCTATATCGTGATACGGTGAATTAGTCGACACGGTGAGAACAATGTTGAAACGGAGCAACGTTATGCAAATGAGACCGTGTCGACTAATTCAGCCACAAACATCATTGACATAACTACCTCACACACTTATAACCCTGCAGCATCGAGATATCAATAAAGCCAGTGGAAATCATAGACAAGAAACGTTCTCAAAATGTTCAAACATGTCAAAGCAGCCTGTACTGGAACAAGAATATACACAACAACTTACATACCAAGTTTTTCGATTATATTAATAACAATATATGTTCTTCTAAGCATTACATAACAAGGGAAATAAACGAAAAGAAAAGGATAGAATTGCAGACCCAAGCATATAAGTTTACGAGTGCTACATTCAATTCCAAATTCAAATAATCGAGGCTGGCATACATTGCCATACAAACAGAAGGCATGCTTTGAAGAGTAGGCATTGTGGCGCGTTATCCATGATGTCAAGGCACAAATTCCTCTCATACACAATATACCAAACACCTGCAAGTCATAAGAATCTTTATGTTAACACTACAATACAAAATAAACTAGTCGTCCTCATTTTATAATTTTTAAGAAAGAAAGCCCTTTGGAGAATGAGAAAAACCAAAGGGGAGTGAAGAAAATATAAATCCTGGGTTCTTTTTCTAGGGGATATTCCGAAAACAAAGGGACAAAAAACTAATTTCTCTAGAAGTAATGAGAACTTAGCAGGACACAAACAAAAAATGTCATAAACCAAGGCACATATTTGGTCATTAGATACAAAATAAAATAACAACAATCATAAATATATGTATCATGAGTTAAGACATGTTTTCAAATGTGTAGAAAGACCCCCTCTGCACATGCTCTACCTTCACTTATGACTTGCGTCACGATCCATTTGTGCGACACAAAAATATGATGTGAGATGAAAAAAAGATATCACAAGTTACAATTTTTGTTGTAGTGAGTGTTGTAGGCGTCGAAAATTGCCTATAGGTCTCTACGAACAACTCAGTATTAAGGAACGACGATGAACGTCACTATCCGGTTCACAGGAGTCCGATTGACGTCGGTGAACGCTTGAAGTGAATCGACGGACTACGTGAGCTGACAGAATTCCGGAATAACGAAGGTGCGGGCTAATCGGGAGCCCTGCAATGTTTACAAAGGGAACAATGCCCTTCGTGTCTCATTCATTCTACAGATAATCCAACCATTGGAGCTGATAGAACTCCTTGTCGTCTTTCCAACGTATTTGGAATCACTCAGATCCGGGTTCAGACAAAGAAGTTACAGCGAAAACAGTCAAACGGGCATTGAAAACGTCTTAAGGCTGAACTGAGGCACCTACGGTGTCTCGGCCAAGTCAAGACACCCCAAGGGTGTCTCGGTGAAGCCAAGACACCCCAAGGGTGTCTCGGTTTAGCCGAGACACCCCAAGGGTGTCTCGGCCAGGCTAGGACACCCCTAGGGTGTCTCAATGCAGATTTGACCCCTTTAAGCAGTTTTAACCGCTCCGCAACCCCTCATGCCTATAAATACAGCCTTAGCCTATTTTTTAAGATCTTGGAATTTTGGAGAAGCTCGAAGCCTGCTGGAGTGAAGACGTGATCGAGCACTTCAACGAAGAGAGTTTCTTCGTCAGATCTACATACACCCGTACCGATCCTTAGTCATATCCCTGTTTGGTAATACTAAAGAAGAGAAATATCTGCTTTATGAGATAGCGCTTCAGTTCTAGATCTCCTTGACGCGATCACGAAGTCTCATGCAGATCTGCATTGCCAGGTAGTCCACGATATCACGTCCACCCGTCACAGCTACAAGACCCACGCACAAGAGACGATAAACGGATCTTGTGTTTATTTTTAAGAAAGTTGTAATTTTTAATTCTTTGTTATTTGAATTCATTTGTAACGTTTGAAGTTTAATGAAATCAATGATGAAGGCGACTTTTGACGAAAACAAACTGGCGATCATAGTGGGAGCCAACGGCCTCGCTGCCGAGGCCGTCGTGACGCAACCGGCCTTCAAGATCCGGGTGAACGAAGAGATCGAATACGAGTTCGATCAACAGAAGTTTGAAGAGTACCTCTCTTCCTCCTCCTCCAGATCCGCCTCTCCAAACGGGCGCAGGAAGACTTCATCTTCCAAGGGTGCTCGCGGGCCCTCAGGATCGAAGATCCAAGATCCCCTCGCCGCCGTTGCACTTACTCACCGCGACGCTCCAATGGCGTCTAACGTGGTGGAAGCTGCAGATCCAGATCTCCCTTCCGCCGCGAAGTCAACTGCTGAAGGTGTTCCAGCCTTGTCAAAGAGGGCGCGCCAAAGACGGCGCCAACGCCTTGCGCGACAACTGGCCAAGGCCGCAGAATCGATGGACGGGATCCGCTACAATGAGGATCTAAAGTCCAGACAGCGCCAAGAGCAACAACGGCGCACAACCAACTCCTCCTCCAAGACAGAGACGAACGAATGGGTTCGTGTCAAGAGGACTCGCTCAACCCTCGAAGAGCGAATCAAGAAACGTCGCGCATTGCTTGCGCATGCCCGAGTCCTTCTGCAGAAAGCGGAAGAGATGCAGAAAGAAGAGACGGTCAAGAAACCGTCAAAACACAAGCAGATGTGGGTGCCAAAGGCAAAACCGGCGCCAAAGGCAAAAGTGGACGGAATTGCCGTCCAACCTTCGTCAAATCCAGATCCCGTTTCCCTTGCCCCTCCAGCGGAGCCAGGTAAGAACGTGGGTCTTTCTGGATCCAATGTTCCTTTGAAAGGTCGTCTCGGTCCTTTACCGAAAAACCGAGGTAAAGCACCTGTCAAGGAGCGATTAGGACCGTTGAAAGGTCACCAAACAACAAACCAGACTGGGGGTCATACTAATCCCCCCAAGAGAGATAACAGAGGGAAAGGCCCTGTTACCGACCGCATTGGATTGCGTATCGAAGTTCAAGAGCCCGTTAAGTTTTCACGTTCGCAAAAGCGTAGACTTGAACGAGCGACTTTTGAAAACGCTAATAAAGCGTCATATCCCCAGAGGGAAACACATTCGTCTGATGATGATGGTGTTATACCTGGGAAGTCATGCCAACACTCTATGGGTTGCTCCAGTTATCAAACTGACGAGTTGTACTATAGAGCTGGGGGTGTGGGTAAGTCTCGTAAGAGAGATGCTAGACACACGGAATCTCACTGTCCGTGTGCCAACATAATCAAGGCGATACTATCAGAATGCTGCTGTACTAAAGCCCCAAGGAGAGTTTCGGTGTTCGAAAGAATTTCCACCGGAACTAAAGCCCCAAGGAGAGTTTCGGTGTTCGAAAGAATTTCCACCGGAACGTCCGAGACCAAGCCAAGGCATTTCTGTAGGAAGAAGCCTGTCCGCCAAGAGGACGAGTTCCTAGAGGTGTCTGCTAATATGACCGGCAGAGGGAAATCGACACGACACTCTAGCTCAGATCAACTTGCCGAAGCATCCCAACGCATGACTCGATTGCGGTCAGGGATCAATAGGCGAAAGAATTACCAAAGGATGCAAAAGGGACTTCCTTTGGAAGAGGAGGCGTCAGATGCTGGTTCAGACTCCTACTCGGCTATAGCATCCGATGACACGGCGTCTAGTGCGGGACAGCCTTACGAATCACTTATGATCAGCGCCGAACAAGTAACCAAGATACTTGAAGATGCCTTGACTAAGCAGAAGGAAGCTTTCAAGTTCGAGATGGAGATGGCCATGCAGCAGATGAGAGAGATGCATGACCAGCAAATCGCGGCTCTGACAACTCACCAAGGAGAACCCAGTCCCGAATCAAGAGGAGAATGAACGGGAAGAGGATAATGCCAATATGAACATCCCTCCCGTCAACAACGACAATGGAAGCGGTCCCGTGGATGATAATGCAAAAGAGGACCACGTTACCTCTCCCCAAAGCCACTCGAAGACAGATACGAGTGAGGACAAGAAGATGAAGGACTTGGAGAGCAAAATCAACGCGTTGATGAATGCTCAAGAAGTGAAGAGGTCCGGCATACCATGTCCATACCCAAGGGAGTGGGAATCAATTCCATATCCGGCAAAGTTCAATCTCATTAACTTTACGCCGTTTGATGGAAAGGGTTCCCCTACCCAACACTTAATATATTTTAAGTCTCACTTAGGAATAATCTCCGGGAATGAACCCTTAATGGTGCGGTCATTCGTTGGCACTCTTCGCGGAGCGGCCTTCGATTGGTATCGTCGCCTCAAGCCGGGGAGTATCAGCAGTTGGGATGACATGGAGGACATGTTTCTAACGAACTTCTTCGACGACGACACCGAGGTCTCAATCGGTACTCTATTTGATGAGAAGCAGAAGAATGGTGAGACAGTCGAAAACTTCGTGAAGAAATTCCGAAATAAAGCAATGAATTGCAGAGATCCAGTCAGCGAAGATTTCATCCTCGAGACCTGTCATAATAATCTTTCATTGGACATCCTGGAAGCTATGGGAATGGCACCGCCAAAGACCTGGAAGGATCTGAAGGTGCGAGGAGAACGAGCCGAACGATTCCTTAAAAGGAAGAAGGCGGAAAGGGGCCAAATAGCAAATAACGCTCCGCAACAGAACTTTGTCCCTAAAGGTAAGGGAAAAGCACATGCGAATATTGTGGACGCGAATCAAACATTCGAGGTGCAAGCGCAACCGCAACAGCAGCAACAAAAGGCGCCTCAACGATCAACGTCGCAAGAGCAACTCCAAAAACAGCAAAAGACTTCGGGTCCGAGACTCCAAATAGAGTATTCCTTCAAGGACGAAGACGTTCCAGCCATCTTCGAATCCCTCCTTGGAAGCAACAAGATCAAGCTACCACCTATCGTCAATCAGGAGGAAGCTGACAATACTGCGGATCCGAAGTACTGCGCATATCACAGGAGGATCCTTCATCCCACCAAGGCGTGCTTTACTTTAAAGAACAGCATCCAGACCTTGGTTGAAGCCGGCGTTATATTGCTCAATTAAGTCAAAAAAAAGACTCCAAAGAGTATACGAGTATAAACTGTTTCTCAATCCTCCAACAGGTGCAAGAGGTTAAACTGTTCCCTGCATACTCCAATAGGTATATGAGTCTAAACTGTTTTCCACTTTTAACGGGAAGTTCCTAGGGAATATTATGCTAATATTCTTAAGGATAACCCGGTCAGGTAACTAAGAATAATGTTCGAACCAGTTCCGCAAAGAAAACTGGGGGTGGACGATTTATGTAACGGGAAGTTCCTAGAGAATCATATATTCTTAAGGATAACTTGAACATGCGATTGAGGATAACGTACTCCTCGTTACACCTAGTTTTGCAAGAAAGCTGGGGGTGGATAATTCGTGTAATGAGAAGTTCCCAAAAGAATGTTAATATTCTTAGGGATAACCCAATTATTGTAGAAGTGATGAATAAGAAATTCTTGCTCGAATTCAGAACGTTGGAACGTTTCTTCTTATTATCAAAATTCTCTAACTCTTATGGGTTATTTTTTTTGTGAG